ATCTAGTGGTTTAGCCGACGACCGAGTTGGTCACGTGTTTTTATGGAGTTAAAAAACGACCAAAAGAATCGCCATTTTTGTATAAACTGTATCAAAAATGTATCAAAATCCACACTAAATAAATTTACTTAACACTCAAACACTTCTACCTCATAATCACGGACAATACAACTGTATAATGGTAAGATTTTGCCCTGATTTGGCTGAACCACTGTGTTGCACGTATTACCTTCATTGTACAGTCATGACCCCCAATTCTGCACGTACGTACGTACGTACGATCGATCGTACGCGCGCAGTCAAGAACATCAATATTCATGAATTGACACGACGTCACTGATATGCATATTCATTGACCTCCTTGTAGATGTGCCCGATTAGAGGCTACCTTGCACGATAACCACGTACAGAACTTAGGCATTTTCCCGCACATGCATACGTTCACTCCACACTACTCAGGGATAGGTACCACAGAGTACTCACTTAGCCTCTCGCTGCATAGTCTCGCATTTCCCTTACTCTCTGTCTCTCAAACTTATCCGAGCTGGAATCAATGGCGTAATAGGGCCGTTTGCATCAAGCAAACTGTTGGCTAAATAAATCAATCTAAACTCATCATTTTCTCTCTCGCTCTCACTTGACAATTGTAGTTACCTCTACATCAACATCTTCTTTATCAATCAGGTCTACAATTATTGGTCAGGCAATTGCTTCAATGAATAATGCAAGAATACTTTGTAATAACGTTTAACTTGAACTTTAATAATGTATAAAACAGTAACTGGTGGAATGAATTCCGCAACGATGGTAAAGATACAACTTAGTCTAGGTTACATGGTATTTTAATCCACTTGGAGTACAAATATTTATAAGTTATTTAAATTTCGTTCCAACGTTTCTGTCTTTATTCGATCCTAGTTCCCAAGTCAGTGTTAACTCTTCTTTTCATACTCATTATCCCCTTGGCCTAAACCATGTTGTTGCGACCAGCGCTTAAACACATCTTTTCGTATGTCAATAAACCTCGCTTCTCAACTTGCCAACACCATTTCTCCCCTCCTGGGCATACCTGAACCAAACTTTCCCATCTTAAAACGTAGTCACTACCTTCTGGTCAGTGCTACACTCTTATTTCCACGGAGTCAAATTTGACTCTAAATGGCGTCAGCTGGGAGTCAACTCTATTCCTAGTTAAAGTGACTCGGATTCCGAATCAATTTGACTCGGATTGTGTGGCATCAGCTGAGAATTGACTCAATTCAGAGTCAAGATGACTCCTTTTCCGTGTCACTTTAACTCGGAATAGAGTTGACTCCCAGCTGACGCCATTCAGAGTGAAATTTGACTCCGTGGAAATAAGAGTGTACTTTCAGAAACCGACGCTTAATAGAAACTGGCCTCAGAGATATTATCTCCCAGCAACTATGTCTAAAGATATCTTAACGAGGGAACAACTCTCTTGTTTAATCTGAACCATAACTTCTCAGAGTTTAACTCTAAATTCACAAATATATAAAATGTAATTACTAAATCAATGCATGGCGGTGGACTAGCAGGAAGAGAAGGGAGGGGGGGGGGGGAGATGGTCAACTTCCAAGTCCTCTGATCTTGGTTCTAGTACCTCACTGACTGATCATCAAAACTGTAAGCAGTCTGATAAAATGTTCATCTAAACAGAAATTGCATTCTGTTCTGTAGCCAAAATCATCTAACTGATCATCAAAACTGAAGGCAGTCTGATAACATGATCATCTAACAGAAATTGCATTCTGTTCTGTAGCCAAAATCATCTAACTGATCATCAAAACTGAAGGCAGTCTGATAACATGTTCATCTAACAGAAATTGCATTCTGTTCTGTAGCCAAAAATCATCTGACCTGATATCCTGAAAGGGGAGGCGGGGGGGGGGGGGAACTAGTGACACCGCCTAAGACTAAACATGCATTGATTATGATATCTAGTAAGCATTTATGAATACATGTACTTCAATTCCGTACAAGTTTATGACCGAAAGGTCTGAACTTAGAATATTTCCTAAGGTAACAGTTACCAAAAATACTTAGAATATTTTAATAGAGCAAGTGACCGAAAGGTCTGAACTTAGAATATTTTCTAAGGTAAACAGTTACCTTAGAATACTTAGAATATTTTAATAATACAAGTGACCGAAAGGTCTGAACTTAGAATATTTTCTAAGGTTAACAGTTACCAAAAATACTTAGAATAATTAAGCAGTGCAGGTTACCGAAAGGTCTACACTTAGAATATTTGTATGTATATTCTACAACCATATTGAACAAGGTAAAAGTTTATGTATATAAAGGCACTTTTGAGACACACTTAACTCTTCCAGATAGCTTAGTCAAAAGACTAAGATTTAAGATGTCAAAGTATTAACATATTAAAGTATTGAAGTATTAGAAAGTCTTAAAGTATTGAAATATTAGAAAGTCTTAAAGTATTGAAAATCCATCAATTTCCAACCAGTAAAGGTCTGAATAAATAATGCCAGGGTCCCAGACCCTGCAGTACGAACGAGGACATATGTTCCTTCCACACATGTTGTTCAGTTCTATAATAAATAATTATATATAAGGATGCAATGAATGAGTTGTCTTTTCTGTGTAAGTCCTATCAGAGCCAAAACAGTGACACTTAGAATATTTCAGAAGTGTAAGTAGACTCTAGAGACCAAAAGGTCGACACTTAGAATAATTTGGATATTTCAACATATTTCAATAAGCACACAATTAATTCCAGAATTCAGTCTGAAAATATCACATCATACACTTCATACATCAATATTATTATCTCCATTAGATGTGAAAGTACTGAAGAACTATATCGGGAATTATATTACCAACGATCCCAAATCTAAAATCTGAATTTGTAAATCGAATTCAATTTCCTCCTAAAATCCCACATTTAGATAATAAATTCATTAAATCAGTAAGAACTGCATTCCATATTAATTTTCCATCTTCCCTTTAATTATTCCTATTTAATTTGAATAAAATTGGTACTTACAATGCTTCTTTGGGTGAAAGCTGAGAAGAGAATAAGAATGAATTGAGAACGTCCGAATGGTCTTCCAAAATGGCGATCTGAGAACTTGTGCCAAATTTGTGTCTCCCGCCCCGTATTTATACCCCTCCAATCCGGCAACGTGATTGGTCAAAAGTTCACACATATTTACGCGCCACTTTTAACCAGGCCGACCGGCCAGATAACCAATACACCAGTTTACAGTTGTGTGCGCCATTTTAAACAAAGCCAATGACCTAGAGGTCATGTATTTATGCGTAAATTAAGATTGCGCCCATGCAAATTATGATGATATCACTGCCTGCGCGCTGCGTTGTGCGCGCATATCATCATTTGCATGGGCGCAATCTTAATTTACGCATAAATACCAGAGGTCAGAGGTCAGTGGCCCCGGAACAGGGCCAATTTGGCCCTGTTCCGGGGCCACTGACCCGAGGTCAACTGTCTGCGCATGCGCACTGATACAACTGTAAACTGGTGTATTAAATCTCTGAATAAAATAGCACCCTCTACGTCACATTCAATGCAACTCAAAATCTCTCGCGGGAAGTTTAAAAGGTAATTTCCTGAACGCGCATACATGTGTACATTATCTCACAGGAATAATACAAAATAGTTACCAAGGAAATCTAATACTACGAGAAATACCAAAGGTGAGTACCTGCTTCCATAACATTATACATGTATGTGTAATTCTTGAGCATTAAAGTTTAAAAAGGTGACATAAGGTGTCTCACTTTAAGAGAGGAATTCCAGTCCCACACATTGTAGGGTCTATTTGGTGTGGTAAAAAAAAAGATTTATCGAAAGTTTATTTATCTATCCAAGTCCATATGAAAGATAAACATGTATATTTTATTTACCCACCAATTAAAAGAAAAAAATAGAGGGGTGGGGTCCAAAAACGCCACATTATCTAGCACACCCCTTTCACAGTGCAGGTGCATACATGTGTGTCTTTGTACAGGCGCGGATCCAGGAATTTCTTGCCGGGGGGGGGGCACCGTGTGGGAAAGAGAACATAACTAGTCTATATAGACCCTATATATATTTTTTTTAGTCCCGAAAAAATCGCAACGACTCAGCCAGCCGCTGAATAAGCGGGGGGGGGGGGGGGGGGGGGTAAAGAGGACACTTTTTTTTTTTTTTGGTCAAGAAATTTTTAATTTGACATTTTGCTTCGTTGGGGGGGGGGGGGTAAGGTTACCTTTTTAGGTCAGGGGCCGGGGGGGGCACGCCCCTGTTTTTCAGTATATTTTGGGCGAATTTAGGGCTGATTTTAACCATAAAAAAAAAATTGCCCCCCCCCCCCCCCCCCCCTGGATCCGCCACTGTTGTATATTCTGACTGTGTACGTGTGTGCGTGTGTGCCCAGCAGAGAAAGACAGCTTCGCGAGCGGGGGCCGGGTGAAATACCTCTCTTGGCCGCGCCGCTAGCGCTACCGCGCGGCCAGCGCCAGGCCTCGCTACGCTAGCGCCGTGTACACTGTCGGATTTCTCACAGGCTGTCACAGCGTTCGTCGATTTTCGTCGACTGAACTCATGTTGATTGGATTTAGATATCAATCATCATGTCTTCCACAACTAAGAAAGAAGCGTGGCAAGAAGTTACAGACTTTTAAAGAAGAATACAGTAAGAAATGGAAATGCATCGTTCCTTCAAAGAAAAGCCTGAATCATGCCAGATCTAGGTTCTTCCCAAGAACACTCCGGGACTGGGATGAGCTCCCTACCAACTTCATTGAACTGCCCTCTGTGGAGAAGTTCAAGGGAGCCATCAGCGCCTAAATCATAGGAGGATCTGTTTTTACTCGCACAACTTGTATATACGCACTATGCACTAATCAATCAATCATGACCACTATGAGAGACACCACACCACAATATCCTCGTTTAGTTGCTGAAAAGGCTTTTGACGAGTACCAGCATAGACGTAGACGTAGACGTAGCACGAATTGTGCATCAGATTTCAACATTGGACATGGCGGGGCAAACGACGTGCAGTGGCATATCAAGACATTTTGTCATGAGTTCATCCAGTCTTTCAGTAGAATACTTTCAATATGGAGTTACATGCACGTAACACCAACTAATGAACAGGTAGATCTATGTTACTTTTATTGCAATGACGACCTTCGTCATTGCCTTGTTTTCGTTCACATTCTGCCCCATTCTGCATTAATATTTTCCTCCTTGTTTTCGTTTTCTTCCTTATCGTCAGGAAATCGCATTCGTTTTGCAGGTAGTGCTTGTTAATGTTATTCCTAGTTAGGTGCTTTCCTCATGTCCTTATCCTTTCAAATTTCATAGGCATATTCTCTAACATCTCATCAAGGTCACTACATTCTTCGATTCTCAAAATCACTCATGCATAACCGTCCCGGCGCCATTTTGTCCGTTTCTGGTCCATTTTAAGGCCTTTCTGTCTTCCTTCCTATCTCCACTATCCTAAATCCTACAAACTTCTAACAAATTCCTCTAGATAGTCTAAGAGATGTTCTTTCATCTGCGACGTATAACCTGACCTTCAAAATGCCATCTTCGTACTCAAAATTTAAATCTGAAACCGACTCCGTCAAAAATCTCTCAAATTCTTGAAAAGTTGACCCCTCAATAATCTAAAACTGCCATAACTTTCTCATATAAATTCCGTTTTGTATTTAAATCTCACAGTATCTTTATCTCATAATTGCACATAGCCATGCCAAATTTCACGCTCCAACGGCTTTGCACAACATAAATAGCGCCCTCTAAAGTTCTGGGAATTGGCTTTCTCTCTGTGGCCGTATCTCCATAATGGCTTGGCAAACCCGTACCCTTTTTTGGATTTAGATACCTGAAGATATGCCCTTTTCAGCCATATACAAAATTATATACCCTATCACTGACCAAATTTGAGAAAATTGCCCTCCAAATTCGCCATTTTCAAGAAAATTGAGAAATAACTTCAACTTGCTCTAAACCGGCGATGTACCCGGTACATCAATGAAACTTGGCAGACACATGTATTCATATACGTGACAACTGTCTGCTAAGTTTAGTAAATTGTAATGCCCTCTTCGCCAAGTTATCGCCAAAAATGATGAATTTACTATGCTTTACGTAATAGCGCGTTTGATGCGTGAAGTACGTTTTGCGCAGATGACAATGGTTTCAAACTGACCGCACTGAAGTGCCCTTTCGAATGATACCAAGTATGGTATATGTTCACGCAGAAAATTGTGAGTAAATCGCATTTGAACAAGGGTCACTATACAAATTCCGCCGAGTTTCCGCCATATTATAACACGTTTCGGCCATGACGTCATTTTTTAAGACTGTTATTCGGTTGTGTTAGTATGGGCGGCCGTTCGTGCCAAAGCACGCGTCGCAACATGTTCATTATGCACCAAGTCCTATTGGTTTTGCACGCAGTGCTTGCGAGCCCTTTCAAGATCCCTTCCTTTACTCCAATTCCCTTCAAAATTCGTAGGCGTAGTCTCTAGCATTCCTTCAAGGTCACTAAGTTCTTCGTTCTCCGGAAACCTCATGCGTGACCGTCCAGGCACCATTTTTTCCGTTTTGGGCCGTTTTGGTGACCTTTCTTTCGCCCCAACTATCTCCACTATCACAGAGGCTACAGACTTCTTACATATTGCTCTGGATAGTCCGAGAGTAGCTCCTTCGTTTGACACGTAGAAACATGGCGTCATTGCACGCACATCGTTGTGACACGATTGCATTTCTAGTTTAACTTGTTGTGCTATCGCGCTTGCCTGCGGGAGCTGCGCTTGCCAGCGTGCAGAAAAATTTGCGTCGCGCAGAAAATTACTGATTTTGTCTCCAAATTACTGATTTTTAGCCTTATGATTACTGATTTGTGCTCTGAAAGGTTGGCATCCCTGCATGTAGCCTTTTAATTATTATGTCCAGTGATGAGCAATAATAATAGTATAGAATTCCATTATTTACTAATCATATTGTTTAATTAAATTCACATTATTTGATAACTCCGGGAAGCTCCAACACCGGCGCCGGTGTTGGAGCTTCCCGGAGTTAATTATTTGAATGACTTTCAAATCAAAACATCTAAGTAAAATGCAGTAATAAATGAAAATTTGACTGTATATTGTAAAAAGAATTACATGGCAGCTTTACATATATGTCAAAAATTCACCAAATTCACCATTATTCAAGTCCAATTTTGACACGAAATGTCCCTAATCTAGAACTCATTAAAATAGAAAATACCAAATATACACATCAAACAACAAATATAAGATTACTGCCAAAGTCCTACCAGCCTATACACATGCAAACTGCTAAGTGCTAGAAGAAATAAGTGTTTGTTAAATAACGATGCCCAATGAATCTACATTATATGATTTCCTGTTTTTTTTACATGATTCTACTCAAATTTCTATCGTCAACTACATGTACTCTGGTAATAATACTCAAAGGTTACATACATGTATATACCAACTCCTATGCGCATACCAAGTACCTGGAATGCAACATCCAGTCTTGCCTTAAATTATAAGATCTACACACATTGAAGTATCATTTTTAGCTTGCTGTAGTAATTTTTGGTTTAATAAATGTACTTACATTAAAGAATTACATGGCAGGTTTGATACTTGCATCGTGTTTTTTCCTTGCACTGGACTTAGCATAATTTACTGTTTATTGATACATGTACATAAAGTGCTTGTCTACACACCTTTTCTGCACTTCATGGCGTTTCCTGAGTGAGCTGCTAAAGGGATTACTCCATCAAGTATCAGATAATACTGATTTGCAAACTATTGCAAAATATGTGAAAATTGATCTTTGAGAGCAATCTTGATCAAATATTTTTTGAGAAATATCCCAAATATGATAGTAATTAGAAAATAGATGTACAAAAATGTTTACATGTATGTAATATCTCTGATGAACAAAATACATGATTATTGCTTCGCAGTCAATGAATATTTCTTAAATTCAAATTATTCTTTGACAAGGTGACTCAATGTTAATCACACACTATGCATGAATACACACAACAAATATCCAACTTTGCAAAACCTACATATGTAGCTTGTCTTGGCTTTGTAAACCGTAGGTGTGAATTTTGCAAAGATGTTTCTTGTTGACAGATACAGTGATTACATTGATCTTTCATCTCGGAAGAAAATATGCCCGGCCTCATCCACTGCAAATCAACTTAACAATCACCAAAACTTTATTCCCTTTAAATCTTGAGTCCCTAAACTTTGGTATATGATTAGATGGTGGGTGGGTTGGTAGTTGAAAAGAATAATCATCCATCAACATTGACTCGTGTGATAAACCGTCTCTAATGCTATGGTCACTTTACCCAAAAGTAGTCTGCTCGGCGGCCGAGCGGCGAGTTTTTAACCAATTCTGCCCGGCGGCTGCCCGTCCACCGAGCGGCGGCCGCCCAGGCACCGCTCGTTTTTAGGGCATATATCGCTCGGTCGCTGAAGTTTTAGCGCGGAGTTAAAATTTGGGCGGCGCCTGCTCACTTTTCACTCGCCGCCCAAAATACGCTCGGTGCCTGGGCGGTCGCCGCCCGGCACCGACCTAATTGCTGGGCGATGCCTAAATTGTAGCAGCGACCGAGCAGGCTACTGATCGGTCGGTCGCTGCTCAGATTTGTGACCATAGCTTAACAAACTGAAAGATCAATAATTTCATAAACCCTCACTGATATATGTACTGGTGTAGTCTGAACTCATTTTGTCTAACTTGGCACTTAAAACAAAAGATCACGATACATTTTCGAACCTTTGAACCGTTTGGCATCGCCCTCAGGTTTGGTATCACTCTGTAAATGATTAGACTGCAAAAATTAATATCTCGGCTGCTTTATCTTAATTATCTAGTGGAGCTAGGGCTCTAATCAGCTGCACAGTCAATGCAGACTGATAAAGTATCGGGTAATAAACCTGTGGCTAATTGAGTCCTCTACATCATAGTTTCATCATAGCTATATACATGTATATAGCTTCTTCTTCCTTTCATTGTTTGGTTTTCTGTTATATATTGGATGTGGGGAGGAACTCCTGAGATTCATGTTAATTCTCTCAATCCTCACTCTTGAGGTTCATATAGGAAAGATGTGTGAGTATAGAGCATGTGTTTGTAGATTTAAGTAAAACAGATTCTGCAATTTGTCAGTGAGTTAAACCTTTCTCTTACTCCATATAGGCCTGTCATCATCAGCTCGAGTTTGTCAAATAACCCGCTATTTTCAGACTCTGGATATTATTCTGTCTACAATCCTGTCTACACCAGACCAATATGCTCATCAAAAATTAGCTTGGACGGGCGCAAATTAGCCCGCTATTTTCCTAATAGCAGGATATTTTGGAAACAAGACCAACATTTCTCAGGATATTTTCTTGACCAAATATCCCACTAATTGCAACTGCGGGCTGATGAAAACGCAAATTAACTGGCTAATTTGTGATCAGGATAGTTAAAATAGTGGGTTATTTGGCAAATTCGAGCCGATGAAAACATAAGGCCTTAATTAATCAATGGTTTACATGTAGTTTAGGAGATCAGTATATTTTCATAGACATTTATTAAACTATTGAAATGTTGCAGATTATATTATTCAGTATGTTTTTCTATATATTTCATTAGCCTCTGTGTATACAGGGTCATTGTATTTTGATCCTATCAAAAAATGTTTATCAAATCATTTTTTAAATTTTTGTATACATGTACCTTCTTTGAAATGACAGGTTTGTGAAATCCCGGTATGCTATATCACATGATGTACTATATACATGTTTGTTGTATAAATATTTTTCTATTATTCTTTTGTTGTATAAATATTTTTTCTTTGATTCTTGTGTCTTCTACACGTCCAGAATATCCCTACAAAGCTGCAGAACCACTTGACCGAATCAGTGCCACCAACTGTTCTTCTCCAAGAATCGACTTTGAACTCTGAACTCTGACCTCTAATCATGGATATGCCAGGGGAGGAATACAAGGGTGGGGGTATCAAGATCTCCCGAAACGCTGCCATCTTCATCGCTTGTACCTTTGGAAGCTCTCTCCTCTTGGTTGGACTGCTGTGCGGTCTCCTACCTGCGGACGATCCATGTAATATGTAAGCTCCTTTGCTGCTTTCATTTCAGTGTCCGTTGCTAGGCACCCAAGAAGTCCGGAAGTCTGTCCTCATTGTCTGTTCAGAGCCAGGAGGGTGTTAACTCTGTGTTAAAGTGAATGAGTTAACGCCCATCTGATTCCAAACAGACGTTGCTATCCCTCAAATAAATACAAAGTTTTGAGGGTCACCCCCTTTTCAGTTTAATTTCACCAGCAGAACTTTGGACCAATAAAATTGCCAGAATATATATACAAAATTGTGATAATAAATACGGTAATAATTTTAAAACACAATACAAAAGATATAAAGCACAGAAATATTCAAAGATAGTATAATCAAACAGTTACTGCAATACAAAAAGCAAAGAATTACTTGAGAATTAAGTAACAGGTGTCGTAGTCAAGTGGATTTGAGAATGGAATGAATAGGAGAAAATGTTGCAGAGGTTTTTTTTTTTTAAATAAATAGTTGTGTCATAATTTTTTCTTCAGGAAATGATGCAGACCTGTTCATTTCTTGTCCAAAGGGTTTGCATAATTCTGAGGGAAAAGTTACAAGAAAGTCAACAACAAAAATATGGTAGATCCTATTCAGTCACCCTGATCAATGATGGATCCTGTAGTATGTGCCCTCCTTCTGCAAACTAAATATTTGTTATTGTCAGTGGCACAATTATATACCTTGGAATTCCAGTACGTGTGTGTTGTGAATACTTGCAAGAGAGGCTGTGTATGGCTGTTCTCGATCATAAACACATTGTACATTTTTTTGAGAGCATGTTGGCTGATCGAATCTGATAGATCCATTGGCATTGATTGGAATATTGTTTAAACAAATTGGCAGGATTATCTTTGCTTCCATCATGATCATGTTAACATGTTGCACACCGACATTCCAAATGTTGGCTTAACTAAATGTTTTAAATGACATTGAAACGTTGTACAGTTTGGACTGGGATATCGTTCCCATGTGCATCTACATGTATAGGCATATTAACATGTTGTACACATTCCAAATGTTGGCTTAATTAAATGTTTTAAATGACATTAAAACGTTGTACAGTTTGGACTGGGATATCTTTCCCATGTGCATCTACATAGGCGTATTAACATGTTGTACACATTCCAAATGTTGGCTTAACTAAATGTTTTAAATGACATTGAAACGTTGTACAGTTTGGACTGGGATATCGTTCCCATGTGCATCTATAGGCGTATTAACACGTTGTACACATTCCAAATGTTGGCTTAATTTAATGTTTTAAATGACATTAAAACGTTGTACAGTTTGGACTGGGATATCGTTCCCATGTGCATCTATAGGCGTATTAACATGTTCACATTCCAAATGTTGGCTTAACTAAATGTTTTAAATGACATTGAAACGTTGTACAGTTTGGACTGGGATATCGTTCCCATGTGCATCTTTAGGCGTATTAACATGTTGTACACATTCCAAATGTTGGCTTAATTTAATGTTTTAAATGACATTAAAACGTTGTACAGTTTGGACTGGGATATCGTTCCCATGTGCATCTATAGGCGTATTAACATGTTGTTCACATTCCAAATGTTGGCTTAATTTAATGTTTTAAATGACATTGAAACGTTGTACAGTTTGGACTGGGATATCGTTCCCATGTGCATCTATAGATGTATTAACATGTTGTACACATTCTAGATTGTTGCTGACCTTGATGGTTTAAATGACTTTAAAACATTGCCAAATGTTGGCTGGAAGCCCGGAACACCTTTATCATATGGCTCTATAATTTACAATGAACTTTACAAACTTCTTACTGTAAGATATTTATCTCTCAGTGTGATAGAGTAGGGCTTAACTTGGCTGGAACATCTTTACCATATATGGCTCTGTTCTCACATGAAAAAATGAACTTTACAAACTTATTACCGTAAGATTTTCATCAGTGTGATAGAGTAGGGTTAGAGGCTATAAAAGACCAATGCTCCCAAAAGAGGAAATGACCGTCTAACATTCATATAAATTATAATGATCCCATTAATTTGTTACAGTTACGTACTACAATAGCATGAAAAATGGTATGGCCGTCTCATATCTTTTGCCACTTTCAAATTGATGTCAAGTCTATCTGGAGGCATATGCCCTTTAAAGTTGATATCTTTTTTTGGTTAAAATATCATGTGATAATGTGAAATACTACAGTTCAGAAATATGAAACTGTTATGTTCTGTCAATGTTCAAGGTTGATGTTCAGCCAAATAAAGATGACAAATAAAGACGTATTCGTAACTTTAAAACTACATGGTGGTAGCATGGACTTTATTCGATGAAGGCATCGATGGAAACTGCGCGCGGTACATTGGGCAATGCGTATACATAAAATGACAAGTCAAGACATGAATAGTCTTAATTTCAGACGTCATACATAACATTCCTCCCCCTTTTAGTGAATTACATGGGTACATCAAAATGAAATACATGTATCAAACTGGCATGCAGACTAGGGCAGAACTATATAACAATATGGTCTTATTTTCTCAAAAAATGTTTGTATAGAGATGTGACACTGGCAAGATAGGAATGTACTCACACAACTTGATTCTATTAAAAAAATCCTATTCCATGTATAACATAAACTAGCAACATTGCTTGTATGCATGTAAATACAACAACACAAAATGTTCACTGTTATAACAACCTATTTTTACTGATCTAAGTTTTACTTGAAGGTTGTTTGACACCCAAGGAACAACACTTTTCCTCCGTGAAAATAGTCAACATATGCATTATTTGATGCATTACTCTATGCATTACTTTATGCATTACTTTATGCATGAAAACTTTACATGGCAAGAAAATAAAACAAAATCCTTGTACTTTGATACAAAACTGATTGGATCCAAACTTTATCAACTAACTTATCTCCTGGCATAATAAAGAACAGACCAAATTAAGTGACATTTTCTCCATGAAAATCGTGTAGTATTTTCGATAAAATGTGGAACAATTTACACTGTTACTTTTAAAACATCAACACTTGTGATGAATGCACCAAATTAGCTTTCATCGCTAAAGAAAATAAATGTTTACCTTTTAATCATTGCCTTATAATTATGTAACACATATAAACAACATCTGTTGAACTTTTGCAGACTTATGCAATACAAGATTAAAAATGTTTAACCCCATAACAAATAGAGTTTGATCTACAATAGTTTCACTTGGCATAAATATAATTATCTTGCAAAATAGTTCTTTACTGCTTTGCATTGGCTTTTAGTATGTCCAATTTCCTGGCATTGATATAGCATTGCTCTTTCTGAAACGGACAGGATTGATGAACATGTCTTGTCGATCCACAACGCCAACACCTTAACTTCTGGTCAGTCCACTGACCTGTGGGCTTTTCCTTCTCAGTAAGCTTGGAATTCCACTTGCTTGAAGACCTTTCTTTCATCTGCGTGGTTCTTAACTGGTGAACCTCTTTGTCTTCACTACCATTGTCACTGGAGTGCAATTGTTCAACATCTCTATTAGCTATCTCCATGGCCATGGCTACTTTCAACGCTTTATCAAATGTAAGCTCTGATTCACTAAGAAGCTTTCTTTGTGTAGCTTTGTCCTTACAACCAACTACAAGGCGATCTCGAAGCATGCTATTCAATTCTTTAAACTTGCATCCTTCACTCAACTGGCGTAAACGAGCAACAAATTGCGGGATTGTTTCACGTGATTCTTGAACACAAGTATAAAACTTATACCTTTGGACTATTTCAGTTGGTTGGGGGGCAAAATGTTCAGACAGGGTATCCTTACATACTTGGTAAGTTTTATCAATTGGTTTGTTGGGCTGCAACAATGCACGTAATGTGGCATAGGATTTACTTCCTAATCCTGATAAGAATATACCCTTCTTCTTTGCATCTGCTGTAATATCATTAGCTATAAACCATGACTCAAGAACCTCAATCCAATCTTCAAATTTATACCCTGAGTCCAACTGAGGGACATTACCAAACATTTGTGCTGCCATGTTTATGTAAGGCGCATTAAACTTGTAATGAACAACTTTATACCATAACAAATACTTGCATAAATATTTGACTTGAAATACCAATACCAAACAACAACAACATTTGGGCTCTTTCCACTTCCACACATGTATCTAACACATACACATTTCTTTGACAAGCAATTTACAACTGAAGAACAAAATTCTTGACTTAGACCTGGACTAGACTGCAAAGACTAGACGTAATTATTGTCTGATTGTTAATAGGTTCTACTGTTATTTACACTGTAAAAACCCGAGACTAATGTCTAACTCTAAACTTGTAGACCTACTTAGATCCACATCTTCACACTTGAATTACACTTCAACTTGTAATGGTACTAGTCCTGGTCTGGGACTGGTCCTTACACTCAGTTACAAAACAGATTCATCATAACAATCGACAATATTATCAAATAAGTTCTAAATGTTTATTTGCTTGCATCAACATCACCATCACTTCATGATGAGTGGTCTGGCTTTCACTTGGGTGGGTTGCTACTAGTCCGAAACTATGAACTGAGTCAACTGACACTGTCACTGAACTGGATCCTGGTCCTAAATTGAAGGCAATCACGAAGTAACAACTTCCTGTATTTCAATTTTAAGGCTAAAACAAAACACTTCCTCCTCTAGTCTACGCTGCAGTAGATCTAGATACAGGAACCTGGATTCTGAAACAATGTATGCCGGGCGGGGCTGGCTGGGCGGGGCTGGCTGGGCTGGGCTGGCTGGGCTGGGCTGGCTGGCGGGCTGGGCTGGCTGGCTGGCGGGCTGGCTGGCTGGCCATGGGCTGGGCTGAATTGGCTTGCTGGCTGGCTGGGCAGGGCTGGGCTGGCTGGGCTGGGCTGGCTGGGCTGGGCTGGCTGGCTGGCTTGGCTGGCTGGCTGGGCGGGGCTGGCTGGGCTGGGCTGGGCTGGCTGGGCTGGCTGGGCTGGCTGGCGGGCTGGGCTGGCTGGGCTGGCTGGCGGGCTGGGCTGGCTGGCTGGCGGGCTGGCTGGCTGACCATGGGCTGGGCCTTGAACTTGGTTGGAGCTTGCATGGGCTTGGCTACTGCTACTGAGTTGCATGGCCTACTGTAGTACTACTGCAGCACTGCCACTGGTTGATCGTTAAGTTGAAAGTTAGGTTGGGGGCATCCATTCACTATTCATCCAACTGCGGCTAATAAAGTTAAACTGATGAGGCAACATCAGCAAAAACAAATACTCGCTCACCTACGATCAACTGCTGGATCTCCTGGCTAAAGAGTTTTTCATCCAAATTAGGCAAACTCAGCTCCATTAGTTCGGTTCATTTGCTGAATACATGCTGATGCACTATTCTCCATAGCTGTAAGTGCTGTACGGCAAAGCGTTCATAAAAAACTGCACGTGTACAGGCATAATTCCAAACCATGTCGGATCTCTGCTGGAGAAACTTTTTCAAGTCTTTATTTCAGCAAACTGCGGCAAAACCAAACTAATCATCCCATCCTCGTCGCCAATGTTATGTTCTGTCAATGTTCAAGGTTGATGTTCAGCCAAATAAAGATGACAAATAAAGACGTATTCGTAACTTTAAAACTACATGGTGGTAGCATGGACTTTATTCGATGAAGGCATCGATGGAAACTGCGCGCGGTACATTGGGCAATGCGTATACATAAAATGACAAGTCAAGACATGAATAGTCTTAATTTCAGACGTCATACATAACAGAAACCAAAATCAATGTGAGCCTGTTTGTTATTATCAGTCATATGAGTATCCATTCCCCCTTTTGAAAACACATTCTGGTCCACCATATTAAGGAAATTCACATACCGGTACACATACAGTTTCTTCCTCTATTACAGTGTTCCTGTGTCCCCTTTTCAAATTTTCAAATGCATCTGAAAATCTTAAGCCTCAGCAAAGTTTTTTTTCAAGTAAATTTCAACCTAGAAAAATAGACAAGGGTTTTACTTGTCTGATATTTTAAAGAATATTGTAGCCCCTCCCCTTTGCAGAGTCCTAGATAGGATCTTCAATCATTCTATAAACTTTTTCCCTTGGAAATCACACTTGCTTTTTATTTACTACAGAGAGTTTGCCATGAAGATTGAACATGTTTTTCCCATACTAAGAGTTATATTTTTTACACCCTTAAGTATATCCCAGATTTGTATTTACATTTCTTTAAAAAAAATGATAAAGCAAATGGCTGGGGATGTTTCAACAACTTTACAATGTTTGTAAGAGTTTGAGTGTAAGAATAAAAGTCTCAATCAGCTGATAGAACAGTTTTCAGGTTGTCCAAGGGAAGCACTGTATGTTATCTGCTTAGTACTCAGCAGGACTTTGTTAACCTTTGGTCCAAGTTGAGTGGGTTATGGCCTTTTGGCATCCCACAGGTTTCTTTAATATGAAGAATAAATGATTTTACACATTGAAAATGCATTTTAAAGGTAGTAGGAACTCTTGCCAGAGAGGCTTTGCCCTTTTTCCCCTTTTTTTCTTTCTTCTTCTTTCTTTTTTTTTTTTTTTTTAATTGTTTTTTTTAATTGTTTTTGTTTTTGTTTTTTAATTTATTTATTTATTTATTTATTTATTATATTATTATTATTATTTTTTTTTTTTTTTTTGTTTTTTTTTTGTTGGGTATAGTTCCCCATGTTTGATGTTGGCACAAAGGCTAAGCTATTGTCCTCCATATTCCATTTTGTATTTATACATTTCCAAAGAACCATGTTCCCTTTCAATTTCATGTTTATTCTTTTTAATGTATTGTATTGTGCAAATGGATCTACATGTACATTTATGTATATAAATATGTGAATATGTTAAAATGTTCCATCATTGTAAATATGAACGATTGAAAGAGGAAAAATAAATGAATTGAATTGAATTGAATTGAATTGAATATCATGATAGATTATCAAGACCTATTCTTGGCTAATTTGTTTGTATGACACAGACAGGTGCCTGAACCCACAGAGCCCCCCGTTGAACCGGTAGAAACGACGAAGGCTTTGATGACGACCGAAAGAGCAGAGCCCACCCCGTCCCCTGGCCCTACAGCTAGTGCCCCTCAACCTTGGGATAGCCTGCGACTCCCCACCGACCTCATACCCTCTCACTACGACATCGGGCTCCGTATCTACATTGACGACGAGCAGAGGTTTGTTGGTAGCATCAGCATCACAATGGAATGCAAACAAAGCACCCACCTCCTCCTCCTGCATAGTAAGGAGCTGAATATCATACCAACTTCTGTGAGGATGCTATCGGTCGATGAGGGCTGGCTGCTTCCGAAGGGACCACCGCGGCTGTTCCCGGCCAACCAGTACCTCATCGTGGAATTTGACGAAATGCTCACTGCGGGAAAAAGTTACATTTTCACCATCGCATTCTATGCACCGCTTGAAGATGGCTTAGTGGGACTGTACCGGAGCTCGTATCAAGCTAACGGGGAAACAAGGTCAGTAAGCCTTTAAACAAAATTGCAGTCTGACATAATGTAAATGCATTTCATTTCATTCATGATTGATTTTCATTGTGTGTACGTATAAAGAAAAGCAACAGATTTAAGTATTTCTCCAGAAATGAGAGTTGAAGACAGTTGTAATCATTTTTTAAAACTACAATTGCCAAACAGACCAGAAAGCCAAGATAAACATAAAACAACAATTGAGGCCAACATAATTCTGCCTGATAATTTTCAATATGATTTTGAGCATCTTATGATAGATGCACCTTTTTCGTCACATCACCTATGTTTGAATTAATTTACAATAGTAAAAGTGAGCTTTTAAGGTTGCAATTTTTATGCTATGTATTTTTTAGTTTTTCAGAGTGGTTTTGAATGCCTTCCATATTTAAATCGCACTCCTTTCGTTACAAAATTCAAATGCTGCCAGCTAGTCATCATTACTGTTAATCTCTTCTCTCAGGTATCTAGCAACAACGTTCTTTGCCCCCACCGACGCCCGCAAGGCTTTCCCTTGCTTTGACGAGCCTGCCATGAAGGTCACCTTCAATTTGACCTTGATCCATGAAGATGGCTACATTGCCCTTGGCAACATGCCCCTCCTTAGAAGCGAGTCGGCGGGGACAGGATGGACCCGATCTGTCTTTGCCAAGAGTGTGCCGATGTCCACCTATCTGATCTGCTTTGTGGTTTGTGACTTTGTGGAGAAGAACACCACTACCGGTAACGGTGTTTTGGTTAGTGTATTTTATAGATGTGTGTATATTACTTAAAACAAATTGTTCTTTTAAACTATGAATGTAAGTTACACTGAGATAGCAACATGATGATAATGTGTGTGTGTATTGGGTTTTTACAGACGTGTATCAATCAGATATGATTATTTACGTCTGGGACCGACCTTTAAACGTCACCATCCGAAAGACGTGACTCAGTTTCGAACCTGCGTCCTCGGCTGAATCAGTTTGTAACTTCCACTTTTTAGCTGGATTACAGGCGCACGCCACAACGCCTAGTTAATAATAATGGTGGCTTCTTATATAGCGCACATGTCTGTCACATTGTGACGCTCCTGGCGCTGCCTCCATTAAATATCATATCATCTTCTGATTGCACTCCACAGCTAAGGGTATGGGCTCGAGAAGATGCCAAGGATTCCTTGGACTATGCCCTGGAGAAGGGTGCTCAAGTTTTGGACTTTTTCGATGGCTATTTTGGAACGCAGTTTCCGCTTCCCAAGATGGGTAAGTCGTAGATGAAATTTTGCCAGTCAAGCAAGAACGACCATTTTGCTTGTCTCCTCCCCTCCCCTTTTCTCTATCTCTCTCTATCCCCCTCTCTTCTTCTCTCTTCCTCTGTCTCTCTCTCTCTCATTCTCTCTCTCTCTCTCTCTCTCTCCTCTTGTCTTTCTCTCTCTCTCTCTCCCCCTCTCTCTCTCACTTTCTATCTCTCTCTCACTCTCTCTCACTCTCTCACTCTCTCTCAATGACGTTTTATTTTGGCCCTCAGTCAATCAATTTATCTCTTTCTGTCACCCATGCATCATCCGATATTCTCTTCCTGTCTTTGTCTTTAACGTGGGCTTTGTCTCCATGCTCCCCATTCTCTCTCTCTCTCTCTTGTGCTCTCTCTCTCTCTCTCTCTATCTCTCTTGTCCTCTCTCTTTTTCTCTCTCTTATGCTCTCTCTCTCTCTCTTTCTTTCTCCCTCCCTTCGTCAATCTAACGCCATCCAAATACCTCAGTGACTATCATTCAATATTTCTGATTCGTTCTCCCAGATATGATTGCCATACCTGACTTCGCAGCCGGAGCTATGGAGAACTGGGGTCTGATCACGTACCGGGAGTCGGCCCTTCTCTACACCCCGGGCGTCTCCTCTTCCAGTAACAAGCAGAGAGTCTGTGCCATCGTCGCCCATGAACTCGCCCATCAGGTAAACCTCACACCCCAATCACACCGACAAGCCCAAAACGGACCAAACAGTTCTGTTAGTTCCGAATATGCAAGAATTGGTTGGACTGGATTCGGTCTGGCGTTATGACTGAGGTTTTTACATATCAAAATTTACCGGTGCTCCCGGTAAATTTTGATAAATTTCAAATAATATTATATTCGCAATATGAGCTTCAAATATTAACTCTGTAATATGATTTTGCAAGTTTAAATACACTCTCAATTGGCATAAAAGCGATGTGAGAGTAGGCAACTCAAAGAACCCATATGCGATGGCATAAGATAGGGTCGGCACAGAACCCAAGTCAGACTCCTTGTACGCTATTTTATGTTATTCTGTTCTTTATTTTCTTCATACCTCTCATCCAATAACCCATAGAAAATCAGTAGAAGTTTTTTGAGGTTGATTCTATTCATTCTAGCTGCATACAAATTATTTGTTGAGGTGATTGGTACACTGTAAAGACATAAAATCACTGCATTATAATGCAAAGTTCCAAGATCATTTCATAATAATACATTTTCTCCGTCCTCTTTATAGTGGTTTGGTAACCTGGTGACTCTAGAATGGTGGGACGATACGTGGCTCAACGAGGGGTTTGCCTCCTACGTCGAGTACCTTGGAACTGATGCAGCCGAACCAGATTGGGGAATGGTATGTATTAACTCGCAGCATATACAAAACTACTCAGGATTGTTCCGTGATTTATCTCTGGAAAGCTGTAACAAAGCTACGAAAAACTAAGCTGCTGTAAAAAAATGAATACCCATAATATTCATTAAAATTTCCTATGGATCACATGGTTCACGGTTTGAGTCCTGCTGTGGCATTAATCACTATGAACATGCCTGACAAAGAAAGCGGACAAAATATACAGTTCCTCAGATAGACAAAGGAACATCCCTTCACTGCTATTATGTAAAAATGTGTTCCATGCATATTCACCTGTTCGACACATTTTTACATAATAGCAGTGAAGGGATATTCCTTTGTCTACCTGAAGAACTGTATATTTTGTCCGCTTTCTTTGTCAGTCATATTCGTAGTTAATGTCCTTTATAGGCAAGATACTAAACTACAGTTGCCACTCTCCATCCAGGTGTAGTAAATGGGTATCCGGTAGAAATTCTTGAGCACCTTAATTATCATGGGAAATAATATATGATTGCATAGACCCTCGAGGAGAACAGTCCCTATAAATACTGATGAGTTTTTCCTGGGAGACAAAACATATTGCTATTATTAGTAGTAGTAATTCAGTTTTTAGTTTTCTTTTTGTTGTTGTCATATCTCTCTCCTTTCGCCCTTTTCCCCTCATCCACAGACTGATCAGTTTGTTTCGGCTGATCTCCAGACCGCTCTTGATGCCGATGCTCTCATCACCTCTCGACCCATCATCGTTGACGTGGAGACACCTGATGATATCAATCAGCAGTTTGATACCATCTCCTATAATAAGGTTTGTGATCTGAACAGACAAATAATTAAAGAGGTGTATGCCTAACAATGTTGTGCTTATTATCAAATGTTTGATTAAAGCATAACATTTCTTCAAATTGATTTTTTTTCTGTCAGTATTATCTTATTCCTTATCTGTACTTCTCTCTGTCTGTCTCGCTCCCTCTCTTCTCTTTCTCTCTCTCTCTCTCTCTCTCTCTCTCTTTTCCCCTCTCTCCACTCCCTCTCTTTCTCTTGCTCTCTTTATCTCTCCCTCTCTCCCTCGTCCTCTCCCTCTCTCCCTCGTCCTCTCCCTCTCTCCTCTGTACTTTATATATACATACTGTGATATATATTAAAGGGCTCTTTAATCCGATGTCGAATTTCTCATATATACGCATTGTGATCAGTCTGTGAATTTGTTTTGTAATTTTGGTTATAGTATTGAATGTTTGTTATATTAATGTATCCGTTGTGTTGTTACATTGTAAACAATACACTTCAAGTTCTTTTGACTACTGTCCTATATGTTAGTCTCTTTCTATGCTGGTAAACCAATTTTGAATGTGAACTTCCACTTGAATCTTTCTCCCTTCCCCCTCTCTCTTTCTCTCTCTCTCTCTCTCACACAATCTTTCTTTCTCTTTTCTCTTTTTCTCTTTCTTCCTTTCTCTTTCTCCTCCCCCTCTCTTTTCTCTCTCTCTCTCTCTCTCTCTCTCTCTTGCTCTCTCACACAATCTCTCTTTCTCTTTTCTCTTTTTCTCTTTCTTCCTCTCTCTCTCTCTCCCCCTCTCTCTTCCCCCTCTCTCTCTCTCTCTTTTTCTTTAACTCTTATCTTCCGTTCACTCCATCTTTCATTCTCTCACTCTTGTCTTTCCTGCATCCTCACAGGGTGCCTCTATTCTCAGGATGTTGCAGAACTTCTTGGGTGAGGATACCTTCAGGAAAGGGCTAGCGGTAAGTTCACCAAGCATGCACATGTTCACTTTCGTTTGATGGACCTGACTGCTAAGAAAGCATTTGTATGCTTGTAAGTAAGCAACCAGGGGTCCTCTCTGTGAGACTTGGTAATGAGGATTTATTCCTTAGCAAAGCGCACTAGCGCATCAAATTGGTTTTTGAACCCAGGACCTCCTGGTTAGGAGACCATTGCTCTACCACTGAGCCATCGCGCCTCACTCATGATGAGGAACCCTATGTCTGCGCACCTAAATTTAGACTTGAAATTGGCAAGAATTTTCTATTATATTCCCCTAGTGCTTACTCTAACATTAAACCTCATATTCTAAAGAGTAAGTGTGCCCAAAATTTCATCAAATTACAAGCAAGATCAATGTTATTTTCACAAGAAAAAGTAGAGGCGTCAAAATGATAGGTCTACTGCCGCCTTTTTGTGTTTTTATTAATAAAGGCATGTTGGGAATACATCTATTTTCATCTTGTTTTTCATATTTTAAACACTATTTTTGTTCCTCCAGAACTATCTTGATGAGTTTGCCTATTCCAATGCAAAGAACACAGATTTATGGAGGGTGTTGACTGAGGTAAGCATAGAGGTTTTTTTCTTTATATCTTTGCCCCTTTTATTTTTATAAAACAAGCTAAAAAAAAAATCACATTTAACAATAACAAAACAATATTTGTATACATCATTCAAATACATGCTTCAACATAAGCCATCTTAAAATAAACTCATTTCTTTTTCCATATATACCAAAAATGTACTGCTCATTCTTATAATATGTCTTTATTGTATATTTCATCTTATGAAAAACAGGAAATGTTTTATTACATAAAGTTAGTTAAAGATCACATGTCAGTTATTCTGGGGCAGAAAGAAACTAATCCAAATTCATGATGAGTTTTTCTGAACTGTTAGTTTTGGTGGCTGAAATGATATTGCCACTCTTACAATGCTGATGATATACAGACTGAGGTATGTGGCGTAGATTTATTCCAAGAATGGTAAAAAATTTGAAAGGCACAAATACAAATTTATGATAAGTTTCTTTACTTTTTATTCTTAATTGCTAACATAATAATGTCACCTTTAACAATTATGATGATATACAGACTGCGGTATGTGGGGAAGATTTATTCCAAGAATAGTTAAAAATTTGGAATGAGAGTTTTTGAAAATAGTAAGTTGATCGTGCGTTCATTCGCACCCTTGACCTAGGCTCTAGGAAGCCTTTAAAATGTTCTAAATATGTTTCCATGTGGCACCTCAATTCGTTGTCACTAAAACCACAGGAATGTTTTGGCATGATCAACAATTTAGAACTGGTGTTTTTAAACATAATTAGTTGTTCTTGCATCCATTCGCGCCTTTCATCTAGGATGTAGGAAGGCTCAATTTTCTTCTTCTTCATGTTTCCATGCCCCTTGTCAATTCACACAATAATAGCACATTTTGACATTTTTGGCATGATCAGCAATTCAGGAAAACGCTTGTTTAAATCCTACTCTTTATTCATTGAGAAGGATTGTAGACAGTAGATTTCCATCTTTCTACCTTGGAATTGATTTAGATAATAGAAAAATAAGACAAGTTTTTGATAGCCCCCCAAAAATTGTACTTGTTTTTGTGTCATGGTGATGGTGATGTCTCTCAGGCTGCCGTGGAAGATGGAAAAGCAGACATCAAGGTGGAGGAGATTATGAGAACTTGGACTGAACAGATGAACTACCCCAGCATCAACGTGACTCGTGATTATACCTCAGGGTTTACGCTCAGTCAGAACCGCTTCCTTATCAACCCCGCGGCCAACACGACAACAGATTATGATGATTTAGGGTAAGATGGTTGTTTGATATAATTGGGAAATTTAAATTGTATTATTATTATTATTAATGAGTATTTGGCATCATCTGTGCCTGCCTGGGAGGTGAAAAAATGGTCACATCACAATCTTTATGATTATGATTATTGCTATTATTGTGATGCCTGTTGATACCCAGTATTAAGACCCCCATTTAAAATGTATAATCAATATCGTCGACATGTCATTATCACCACCAATTTCATTATCATCATCATCACCAATTTTATCATCATCATTATCACCATCACTGTCTTCTTCTTCATTAGCAGATGTATGAGATTTAATGTATTATTACCAACGCTCCTTCTCTCCCCTTTCCTTTTCTTCTCTGCAAGTCACTCTTTTTATGCCTCCGTTACGAAGTAGCCGGAGGCATTATGTTTTCGGGTTGTCCGTCCGTCCGTACGTCCCGTTCTCGTGATCGCGTTATCTGAAGAACCGATTGATGGATTCCTGCCAAACTTTAGTCATGTATGTATCTTGCAGAGCCGATGAAGTGATAAGATTTTGGGGTCACGAGGTCAAAGGTCAAAGGTCACAGGGCTCATTATGTATGCAAAAACAGCTCGTGATCGCGTTATCTCAAGAACCGATCGATGGATTCCTGCCAAACTTTGGTCATGTATGTATCTTGCAGAGCGGATGAACTGATTAGATCTTGGGGTCATGAGGTCAAGGTCAAAGGTCATGCGGCTCATTATGTATGCAAAAATAGCTTGCGATCGCATTATCATTAGAACAGATTGATGGACTCCTGCCAAACTTAGATCATGTATGTATCTTGCAGAGCCAATGAACTGAGTAGATTCTTGGGTCATGAGGTCAAAGGTCAAAGGTCATGGGCTCATGTATGCAAAAATAGCTTGTGAACGCATTCTCATTAGAACTGACAGATGGATTACTATTTAACTCAGGACATCTTGCAGAGCCAATGAACTGAGTAGATTTTAGGGTCATGAGGTCAAAGATCAAAGGGTCATATATGTATATAATGGATTACAATTGAAATTGATTTGAAAAATTTCTTCTGTTTTGGTTTGTAAAATTGCTCCATGACGGAGGCATCATTTTCGACTGCGCGCAGTCGAAGTTCCATCTAGTTTATTTTTATTTTTATTGTTGTATCTAAGTTGAGGGCTGCGGGCACGTCAAGCTACTTTGCTTATTTCTGTAGCCCTCCTGCATCTAATGTATGTTAATTTAATATGCATTCAATATATTTCTTTAATTTCGTTTATTATCTGTATAAAATTATATACACTTAAAATATTGTGTCAAACCATATTATGTTCATGAGAATGTATGATGAAAAAAAAAAGATGCAGAAACTAATAAATCAAAATCGAATCAAATCAAATCAAATCACCATCATCATCACCATCATCATTGAAGCATTCTCAGGTGGTGTTACACCATATGCATCCAATTATTTTACAGAAAACAAAGAACTTATTCTTTCATTCAATTACATCATAAAATTCTTTTTCAGATACATTTGGTATGTACCTCTCAAGTACACAACTAGTGCTGCTCCAAACTTCACCGATCCTACGTTACAGTGGCTTGAACCAGAGAGGGAGCAAGGTTAGTACATCATACCTTGGAAGTAGGCATAAAGTTATACAAAACTTATTTGCCCCTCGGTGTCCGTTAGTGGCTTACTCTTGAATTTGGCGTTGTGCAGTTACAGATGCACATGGACAGTTGAATAATTCATCAGGATTTAACTTGTCCTTCTTCAGTGATCAGTACATATCAAGATTTGATTTGAAAGAATTGAGTGATGGACTTTCTGCTACATATAATGGGAGACCATTCCATTCGTTTACTACTCTCTGTGAAAAAGAGCTCTGCCTCAACTTAGAGTTTATGTGTTTCTTTTGTAGTTTGAACTGGTGACCTCTTGTTAATGTGACAGTGGTATGATGAAAGAAATTAGTTGACTGGAGGTCATCGATTCCATGCATTATCTTATAGACCTGTAGCATGTCGCTTCTATGACGTCTGTATGATAATGAAGACAAATTTAGTTGCTCTTGCTGTAACTTGTACTAAAGACTTCTGAGAGGTTGATGTAGCATTTAAGTTATTTTCACTTCCCATGAATGCCAGTGTAATTTTTGAGAAAATTACCTCCTAACAAATTAGTAAAAATCAAAAACAATTTGTCACAAAATAATTCAAAATCTTTCTCTATAGATATTGTTCAACATTTCTGATTTCAAAATTCTTTCTACCAAAATATGCACATGCACATTTGGATAAGACTTATAAATTTAACTTATACATCCGCCTTATGTAATTTAAACATTTTGCTTGATAAACCATTTTTTACTTGTTGAAGCATGTAAATTATTAATGTTTTTCATTTCATCACATGCAGTATCGATTGACTTTGATGACGGCATGACGTCTGAGGACTGGCTACTAGCCAACGTGAATGCCTATGGGTTCTACAGAGTGAACTATGATGAGAAGAATTGGGACCTTATCAGCAAACAACTCACAGAGGATCATGAGGTAGGAACATATTAATATCACTAAATTATTATTTAAGTTCCCCTTTTGGTTGTCTTTTTATTATTCTTGATTTTTTTATTCTATTGTTCTTTCTCCTTTTTACCTCTTCGTGATGTATTTAATTCTTTAATTCAGGTTATCCCCATCTCAAGTCGTGCAGCTCCGATCAGCGACGCCTTCAACCTTGCCGTGTCAGGTCAACTCAGTCAGGTCATTACCTTTAACCTCAGGTCCTACCTAGATGAGAAGGGTGACTGGAGTTGGTTTTCCCTCAATAATAATTGATTTATCATTCCATTTTAATTCAGGTTATTCCCATCTCCAGTCGTGCTGCTCTTATCAGCGACGCCTTCAACTTTGCCGTGTCAGCTCAGCCCGTTCACCTTTAACCTCGGTTCTACCTAGATGACAAGGAAGACTGGAGTTGATTTTCGATCAATAATAATCGATTTATCATTCCATCTTGATTCAGGTTATCCCCATCTCCAATCGTGCAGCTCTGATCAGCGACGCCTTCAACTTGCTGTGTCAGGTCAACTCGGTCAGATCAAAATACTCATGACCTTTAACCTCAGGTGCTACCTATATGACAAGGGTGACTGTAGTTCATTTTCCATCAATAATGATCCATTTATCATTCCATTTTGATTCAGGCTATCCCCATCTCCAGTCGTGCAGCTCTTATCAGCGACGCCTTCAACCTTGCCGTGTCAGGTCAACTCAGCATGGTCACGGCCTTTAACCTCACGTTCTACTTGGAGGACGAACAGGATTACGTTCCGTGGAGCGTGCTGAACCAGGTCTTGGGATATGTTGACCTCATGCTCAGCAGGTCACAGGCATACGGCTTGTTCTCGGTAAGTGATTTCTGTTTTGAGCTCGTTCAGAGATGGAAAATGTTTTAGGTATTAGGTAGAAGTGGCTTGGTGGATAGTGGTCTACTTTAATAAGCAATACAGATAAAATGCAATTAATCAAACCAACTATTGTCAGCTTGAAGCCAGAACAGCATTACCTAACCTATATTATTTTACATAATGTGTTACATCCTTCTGGCTCTGAACAGGGATCCGTTTCACAAAGCCTTTTTTCAATGACAAATGACAAAAATCAGTGACTAATCTGCTGGTAACCAATCAGAAGCAAGGATTTCACTAGCTTATGACAAAAACTGTCATTTAATTGTCACTGATGACAAATTTTGTGAAAGGGGGCCCAAATGATATAATTCTTATTTGTAGAGATGCCGTGGTCTCGTGGATAAATCACCGGACTGTGGAACACATGGTTCAGGGTTTGAGTCCCACCGCGGCACTAATGTCCTTTGGCAAGACATTTATCTACCTTTGCCACTCGACCCAAGGGAGGTAAATGGGTACAGGGTTAGAATTAATTCCTTGAAATGCTTGAGTGCCATAATGGCAGCCATGCTAAAGCCAGGGTGTAAAGTTTGGCAAACATGAGCGCTTTGTAAGAACCCTCTATTATAGTTATTATTATTAATATTTCTTTGATATCCTACAGACATACATGAGGCGTCAGGTAGAACCATTCTACAATTACGTTGGATGGAATGATACTGTTGGATCCCATCTTGATCAGTGAGTTCTTACCTACATGTATTCTATTTTTCTTGTTCAGATATGCCATGCTTAACCACTTAAAAAGACATCAGAAACATACAGTGGCAGTGGAAATTGACTTAATGTAGTGTACATCATCTGTATATTACAAAACTAAAAGGTGACTACCAACCATCCCCCCCCAAAAAAAAAATGACCCCCCCCCCCCCCCCCCCCCCCCCCCCCGATGCAAGTTTCCGTCAATAGCTAGACCAATGCTACATGTATATCTAAGATTTTTATTTGATTGCGGCTTTTTGTAAGAAGAAAAAATTAAAGCTTACGTAAGAATTCTTTACATAATTATACAGGGTTAGTACCTGAAAAATGTTGTTCTTTGGACGAAGTATCACATTTATTAAGTCTATGTTACTGTTTTGGGTTTTCCTGCCGTTTGTAGACCTTTTCCCCATGCTTTTTCAAAACTTTAAATGGAACCTTCAGAGGAATATATTATCTTGTACTCTGAAATGTTTACTCTTATAGATTAGTTTGGTGTGATTTTTTTTCCTTCTTTCTGTTTTTAGGTCTGGTCGTGTGATAGCCATCAGTCTAGCTTGTGGATATGGCAATGAAGACTGTGTAAATACTGCTATAGAGTACTACGCAACATGGATGGCTGATCCAGAAAACAATCCGTAAGGCCCTGTAATATTCTGCTTTGTAATAGTATACAACTATTTAATGTCTATCAGTGAGATAGTAGAGAGTGAGAGAGTTAAAAAGAACATTGCATCTTCTACCAAATGATACTTGGTAGTGTTTACATCCCAAGAATGAAAAGCATTTCATGTTTACTTTAAAGTTATAGTAGAAATGTTAATAAAAAAGAACTCAGAAGTCATCAGTCGTGACACTGTGTTTTCTGCAAATAGTGCCAGATAATAGTACCAGATCTAATAGTATCTTCACGTATGTTCATATATTTTCTGGCTGAAATATAAACTAAAAACATGAAAATAATGATGAGTAGAGAAGATGAAATTCAAAGAGAAGAGTCTGAATATCTCAGCCGAATTAGGAAAAGCTGATATAAGTATCTCCACGCCTAATTCTTGTCTGTAACTCCCAGGGTCCCTCCCAACCAGAAGTCTCGCGTGTACTGCACGGCCATCTCTGCCGGGGGCCAAGAGGAATGGAACTTTGCCTACCAGGAGTACCTCAGCACTTCCGTCGCCACGGAGAAGAACATCCTCCTGGCTGCCATGGGATGCAGTCGGATACCATGGATCCTTAACTCGTGAGTATCCATCTATCAGGCATTATACGTCACTGTATGCAAAGCTCGACACTAAGGCATAAACAAAAATGTTGTATTGCCATTTAGGTGCCAAAACATCTTTCGGTCGGTCGGAAATCTTTGAGAATTTTTTTGTTATTTCTCCCTCTTTGGGCTGATATTTCTCAGTTTTGAATGCTTTAAAACATATTTTGTAGTTATTAAACATTTTTCTTCTAAAAAGGCCAAGATCGACTTTAAGTTGGACTTAACTATGGCAGGCCATTCATGCCACTAGATCTCACCATTGGTCTCTCAATGATGAATAGGGTGGGTGGCTTAAAAAAAGAAGAATATTTGTGGTAAATTGCTTTCCCCTACCCCTTACCTTTTTTACTGTCTCAAGACTTACAGTGAAAAAAATGCAGTTGTTGTTAAAATAATGCTTTGTAAAGTGCATAGGAGTAGCTCATGACAAGTGACCTTCAGCTGCATAGGTTTCAAACGGCCATTTTGTAATAGAGTATGAATCCTCTTTCATGTGGCCCCACAGATGTTGTCTTACAGGGTAGGCCTCTTCATTATTCTTTATACATTCAAGTGATGATCCACCTCTCTGGAATTCGCTCTCTTCGCATATCAATCATGCTCCCACACGACAGAATTTCAAAACCCTTCTCAAAACTTACCTGTTTCGTTTGTATTTTTTGACATTGCAATTAAGTAATGTATTATAATCAAATATGTTACTCTAATTAATTATTCATAAATATTTGCTATCAGTATTTACTTTGCTTTAATGTATTACCTGTAATGAATTTAGCTACATGTCTTTAATTTAAGGTTTTTATACTTTGTTCTTGTAACCATAGTTCAATATACTTGTACATGCTTTTTTTTTTACTATGTAAAGCGCATAGAGAAACTTTCGTTTATTATGCGCTTAATAAATTAATCTTCATTATTATGATGTGATGTTGCAGGTACCTAGAATTGAGCATCGCTCCCAACGGTACGATCAAGGCTCAGGACGCAGAGAATGTGGCAGGATACGTTGCCTCCAACACCATCGGCTCCGACCTTGCCTGGGACTTCTTCCGAGTCAACTGGGACTTTTACAGAAATGAGTAAGCTTTGTTCTTAATTATCTATTATGAAATGTATACAAATATTATATTTGGTGCAGGATTGCTTGAATATATTATTGTATAGATGTAACAACAAAAAATCAGCTTAATGGGTAAGGAAAGAACAGAAAGAGTGAGAGAAGAGGGTGAGAAAAGTTCAAAAGAGGAAGATATCCCATAGGAAAGTGAAAAGTATGCCGCAGACCTGCCGCAGACCTGCCGCAGATCTGCTGCAGACCTGCCGCAGACTAAAAGTCTGCGGCAAAGAGTATGCCGAAGTATGCGGCAGAAAGAAATTTTGCTGCAGACTTGCCGCATACCAGTATGCCACAGGAACAGTCTGCGGCAGATCTGCGGCAGGATGAAATTTTGCTGCAGACTTGCCGCATACTAGTATGCCACAGGAACAGTCTGCGGCAGATCTGTGGCAGGATGAAACTTTGCTCCAGACTTGCCGCATACTAGTATGCCACAGGAACAGTCTGCGGCAGATCTGCGGCAGGATGAAATTTTGCTGCAGACTTGCCACATACTAGTATGCCACAGGAACAGTCTGCGGCAGATCTGCGGCAGGATGAAACTTTGCTCCAGACTTGCCGCATACTGGTATGCCACAGGAACAGTCTGCGGCAGATCTGCGGCAGGATGAAATTTTGCTGCAGACTTGCCGCATACTAGTATGCCACAGGAACAGTCTGCGGCAGATCTGCGGCAGGATGAAACTTTGCTCCAGACTTGCCGCATACTAGTATGCCACAGGAACAGTCTGCGGCAGATCTGCGGCAGGATGAAACTTTGCTCCAGACTTGCCGCATACTAGTATGCCACAGGAACAGTCTGCGGCAGATCTGCGGCAGGGCGAAACTTTGCTCCAGACTTGCCGCATACCAGTACGCCACAGGAACAGTCTGCGGCAGGTCTGCCACAGGAAATCCCATTAAAGTCTAATAGGGCCAATTGAAACCAATCATCTCATGCATATTCATTATTACTTTACACGTGTGACAGAAAAATACATTTATCATGATTTGTTAAGCAAATTAAGACAATGCACATCATTTTTGTGATTTCTATTTTCCTTTTGCCATTATTAACCAATAGATTATTATGTCTGATCATGTTACAATTACATTCACGTTTAAGCAATAGATATATTGATTACTAACCAAGAAACTATGATTACTAACCAAGAAACAATATACATATTTAGTATATATATGTGTACGAGCCTGTGTCACTTTAAATGTTACTCTTGAATACACTTCAAATGATCAATGTGATGAAGTTAATACAATTGAGAATAGAATATACCTAATTGGTAATATCGATATATATTGGTATTACCTAATTGGTAATATCGATATTGCCAATATCGATTATGAAGTATCAATCAGTTTATCACTGGTTCTTCTACATGCATACTTTATTGCCACGTACTGGATATGAAAGAGTATGCGGCAGGTCTGCAGCAGGTCTCTTCATCATACTAAAAGAGTATGCGGCAAGTCTGCGGCAAGTCTGCGGCAGACCTGCCGCAGACAGTCATCTTTTTCACATGCAAATTAGTTTTGCCGCAGACTTGCCGCAGACTTGCCGCATACTCTTTCAGTATGATGAAGAGTCTGCGGCAGGTCTGCGGCAGGTCTGCCGCAGACTCTTCATCATACTGAAAGAGTATGCGGCAAGTCTGCGGCAGACCTGCCGCAGACTCTTCATCATACTGAAAGAGTATGCGGCAGGTCTGCAGCAAGTCTGCGGCAGGTCTGCCGCAGACTCTTCATCATACTGAAAGAGTATGCGGCAAGTCTGCGGCAGACCTGCCGCAGACTCTTCATCATACTGAAAGAGTATGCGGCAGGTCTGCAGCAAGTCTGCGGCAGGTCTGCCGCAGACTCTTCATCATACTGAAAGAGTATGCGGCAAGTCTGCGGCAGACCTGCCGCAGACTCTTCATCATACTGAAAGAGTATGCGGCAGGTCTGCAGCGAGTATGCGGCAGGTCTGCCGCAGACTCTTCATCATACTGAAAGAGTATGCGGCAAGTCTGCCGCAAGTCTGCAGCAAGTCTGCGGCAGACCTGCCGCAGACTCTTCATCATACTGAAAGAGTATGCGGCAAGTCTGCGGCAAGTCTGCGGCAAAACTAATTTGCATGTGAAAAAGATGACTGTCTGCGGCAGGTCTGCCGCAGGAGTATGCGGCAGGCTCATTTCTTTCCTATGGGATATTGGCTCCCTGCAAAAGGACACTAGTATCATGTACCGTAAATGGCTGTAATGTCCTTTTAGCAGTAAGGCGAGGAATTGACATTTGTATTTGTTTTGACATGAAATGGACCTAAACTTCTCAGTTGCTATGGATACTGTGATATGCGCTTTACAAGAAAAGAATATTAGTATTATAGTGCCTGAAGAGCGGTAGAAATAGTTGAATCATGCTGTTTTCAAGATTTCAGAAATAGGTTCCGTTGAGACCATTACGAAAAGCTCTCGTTAAAACTATACCCCACCACTATAGCACACCCAGATAACAAATACGGCGTTGGGCCAACGTCGGCCACGGTCGGCAGGGTCGCAGTCGGCAAGCCAACGTTGGCTAATCGTTGGGCCATCGTCGCCATTTTTTACTGATAAGTGGTGGCTATTGGTTGGCTCATTCGACGTTGGGCCAATGTTGGCTGAACGTTGGTCCATTGTCGCCATTTTCACTGATAAATGGTGGCTATTGGTTGGCTATTCGACGTTGGGCCAATGTTGGCTGAACGTTGGTCCATTGTCGCCATTTTCACTGATAAATGGTGGCTATTGGTTGGCTATTCGACGTTGGTCCAATGTTGGCTGAACGTTGGTCCATTGTCGCCATTTTCACTGATAAATGGTGGCTATTGGTTGGCTATTCGACGTTGGGCCAATGTTGGCTGAACGTTGGTCCATTGTCGCCATTTTCACTGATAAATGGTGGCTTTTGGTTGGCTATTCGACGTTGGGCTATTGTTGGTTTAATGTTGGTCCATTGTCGCCATTTTCACTGATAAATGGTGGCTTCAGGTTGGCTATTCGACGTTGGGCCAATGTTGGCTAAATGTTGGTCCATCGTCTCAATTATCACTGATAAATATTGGCTATTGGTTGGCTATTCGACGTTGGGCTAACGTTGGCTCATGGTCGCCATTTTCACTGATAAATGTTGGCTTTTGGTTGGCTATTCGACGTTGGGCCAATGTTGGCTGAACGTTGGTCCATTGTCACCATTTTTACTGATAAATGGTGGCTATTAGTTGGCTATTCGACGTTGGGCCAAAGTTGGCTGAACGTTGGTCCATTGTCGCCATTTTCACTGATAAATGGTGGCTATTGGTTGGCTATTCGACGTTGGGCCAATGTTGGCTGAACGTTGGTCCATTGTCGCCATTTTCACTGATAAATGGTGGATATTGGTTGGCTATTCGACGTTGGTCCAATATTGGCTGAACGTAATTGGTCCATTGTCGCCATTTTCACTGATAAATGGCGGCTATTGGTTGGCTATTCGACGTTGGGCCAATGTTGGCTGAACGTTGGTCTATTGTCGCCATTTTCACTGATAAATGGTGGCTTTTGGTTGGCTATTCGACGTTGGGCTATTGTTGGTTCAATGTTGGTCCATTGTCGCCATTTTCACTGATAAATGGTGGCTTTGGGTTGGCTATTTGACGTTGGGCCAATGTTGGCTAAATGTTGGTCCATCGTCTCAATTATCACTGATAAATGTTGGCTATTGGTTGGCTATTCGACGTTGGGCCAATGTTGGTTGAACGTTGGTCTATTGTCTCATTTATTACTGATAAATGTTGGCTTTTGGTTGGCTATTCGACGTTGGGCTAACGTTGGCTCATTGTCGCCATTTTTTAAGATAAATGGTGGCTTTGGGTTGGCTATTTGACGTTGGGCCAATGTTGGCTAAATGTTGGTCCATCGTCTCAATTATCACTGATAAATGTTGGCTATTGGTTGGCTATTCGACGTTGGGCCAATGTTGGCTGAACGTTGGTCCATTGTCACTATTTTTACTGATAAATGGTGGCTATATTGGTTGGCTATTCGACGTTGGGCTAAAGTTGGCTCAACGTTTGTCCATTGTTGCCATTTTTACTGATAAATGGCGGCTATTGGTTGGCTATTCGACGTTGGGCCAATGTTGGCTGAAAGTAGGACCATCGTCTCAATTTTAACTTATAAATGTTGGCTATTGGTTGGCTATTCGGCGTTGGGCCAATGTTGGCTTCATATGTTGGTCCATCGTCTCATTTTTTTTTTTAAATGGTGGCTTTGGGTTGGCTATTCGACGTTGGGCTAACGTCGGCTGAACGTTGGTCCATCGTCTCAATTTTAAATTTTAAATGTTGGCTTTTGGCTGGCCATTCGATGTTGGGCCAATGTTGGCTGCATGTTGGTCCATCGTCTCAATTATTACTGATAAATTGTGGCTATTAATTGGCTATTCGACGTTTGGCTTTTAACGTTGGCTCAATGTTGGTCCATCGTTTCAAATTTTACTGAGAAATGGAGGATATGTTGGCTAATATACGCGACGTTGGGCCAACCTTGGCTTAACGTTGGTCTATATCGTCTCCATCTTTACTGATAAATAGTGCATGTATATATTGGTTGGCTATATGACGTTGGGCCAACGTAGCAAATACGACCTAGTACCGCTACATCCGGGTAAAAAAAATTGCATGCGTGCGCATGCCCATGTGCTCATGCAATTGCAACGACGTCAGCCATATCCTGTCCATTTGTCTGGATCAGTTGCCGGGGAGTACCAACACTGCATGGTAAATTAATGATTTTCTTTCTCTTTCAACGTTATTTTTGTGAGCATGTCGCGTGAAACTGATAAATTGTATAGTGTGAGAACTCCCCGTCACAAAGCGAGGGAAATAGCATGAGAAATTGTTAAAGTAATCATTGATAATTCCCTGTCCAAATGAAAGTGAAAGTGCAATTGAAGTGTGAGTGA